GGGAGTGAGTTCTGCTTTTACCATTTATTAGAGTCCTTCAAGATAAAGAACATCAATAATTCAAACAGGTGATCTAGCTTGGGAAAATCATAAAGTGAAACCAAAAATAAAGAAATAACTCTTTCACAGCTGGTGTTTCCTAATAAGAAGAAGATGCAGGTACTGATGATCAAGGGATTATCACTGTAGAAAATCATGTTTTGTGGGAGACACAGGAATAAATATTTATAGTAGAATTGCTCATATTAGCCAAAGACAAATAAGAAAAAGGCATGTGGAGATCCAATAACTAAATATCATGTTTATAAAAGCAAATAGCTTATTTTAGTAAATATGAAAATGTGGAACTATTTGCATTAATGTAAATTGAATATGAATTCTAATATTAGCTAGGGAGATGAAATATATCTATGAATATTTAAAATATGACTTTGTTAACTCATACTTTTGTGAATGGGAAAATTCAGTATTATTTATGAGCAGATATATATACAGAGAGTCATATATATATATAATAAAACATATATATGTTTATATATATATAATAAAAACAAAGAATAAATTAACATTGAATTTAGAATACTGATTAAATATTATGGCAAGCAAAGAGATAAATTTAGAAGTGATAATATACAACGTACCTAAGGCTTGAAATTTCCTGTCATTTTTATTATAAAAAAATTGGTGTGTATTCACTGTGCTATAGTGATGGGTTAAAATAATGCATTCAAACACAACATGTACTGTGATCATAGCCTTCCTAGCCACCTCCTTTTCCTCAATTTCCCCACCAGGCTCCTTCCTTTTCACTTCACTTCTTCTTTTATATATAAACATATCCTTTTATGTATCCATGTATGATCTAGAAGCCACAAGTATGAAATTCATAATGTTTAGTTTTATGAGTTAAACTTGTTTTGTTTAATATGACTATATCCAGTTGGATATATCCAACTATATCCAGATGGACTATATCCATCATTATATCCTTCAAATGGCATCATTAGAGTCTTCCTTATGGCCAAATAAAATTTCATTATATATTTCATTGTATATTTCATTTCATTATATATTTTATCTTTAATGCATTTATCTACTAGATACTATAACACTAAGGATGTATCCATAGCTTGAGTTGTGAAGATCATATTGCAATAAGGCATATGTGAGAGTGCGCTGGCAAGTTTATGCCAATTTGAACATAAACTAGAGTCATTTGGAAGAAAAGAAACTTAATTGACAAAAAGATGCATCATGTGATTTGCCTGTTAGCAAGCTTATGGAGCATTTTCTTGATGAGGATGCTGAACTGGTAGGGTCCAGCTCACTGTGGTAACCACCCCTTGGCGGGTGGTCCTAGGTGTTCTAAGGGAGCAGACTGAGAAACCTAAGAGTGAGCAATCCAGTAAACAACATTCTTCCATGGCCTCTACTTCAGTTCCTATGTCCAGGTTCTGTCTTGTGTTCCTTCCTTGACTTCCTTCAGTGTGGAGTGTGACCCGAGAGTTGTAAGATGAAACACACCCTCTTTTGGTCATGTTGTCTGTCACAGCAATAGACACTTGAAGTCAGCAAGCAATTTAGCAATATCTTTACTTAGAGATTTTGGGCTTCTACCTCGGGTAGGGTAACTTTGAATTTACTAAGCTTCCACCCCACTGAATCACATAGAACCTAGGCCAGTTTACATTTTTGCCAGCAGTGTGTGTGTGTGAGTCCCTTTCCCTGTACTCTGATCAAATAACTTTTGCTGTGTTTTGATTTGTTGCTATAGCACTGGAGACTGAGAAGAGATAGAATTGGAGTGTCATTTTAATTTGATTTTCACTGGTTGCTGAAGATATAAACAGTTTTAACTATATGTGTACTGTCCTCTTGTGAGTCACGTTTTTGGACCTGCATGTTACTGGTTCATTTATACAGGGTTGTTTGTGTTTTGAATGTTTAGATTTTGATGTCTTCATGTATTCTGGACAGATCAGATGACTAGTTAGCAAGGGTTTTCTCTAAAATATAGGCCATATCTTCAATTGCTGGCCCTACTCTGGATATAGTTATCTATTATTTTCAGTAATCAATTATTAATTAATAAAGTCATTTCTAGTTTATTGTGAATGGGATTTTTAAATTTCTTTCTCAGTCTGATTGTTATTAGAATACAGAAACATTTCTGAATTCTGCATATTGATCTTATATCTCATGTATTTGCTGAGACGGTTTAGTTTAAAGAGATTTTTAGTGTCTCGCAGTATGTCTTATGCATAAATTAAATTGCTTTCAAATGCTGATAATCTTACTTCTTTATATTTTTACTTATACCTCTTAACTTGGGTACATAGGTGTTTTGAAATATTTTTCATTAATATCACATTTTCAGTCTCATCAATAGTTTGTTTTAGAAACCACAGATAACTTATGGCACTCTAAAATATTATATTAACTTCTTTTATTCTGAGAAAGCATAATTGCAAGGAAAGAGACATATTAGACATGAATCTTCATTAGCTGTGTTTCTCACATTCACAAACACAGCAAACATACCTTATCCTTTTATTCTAAATGCATATTTTTAGCAGTATAATGATAAATATCTTAACATAAGCAATCAACCAACTTAATTGATCAAAATCCCATTCTTCCTTGTGAAAGCCATCCATTTCTCCCTGTGAGCTCATGGGGTAAACATAGTAAATCTTGTGCTGTAAAAGCAGCACAGCAGGCATAATATGAGCAAAATTTATGGAATACACCTTAGAAATTATGTGTTAGGCTTGAAGGAAGCTTAACTTGACTTGGGAAAAAAATAGAAAAGTCAGAAAAAGAAAGGGTATCACAAATCTCAGAAGGCAAAAATCATCTGGGAAACAAAATGAAAAAAAGGCATATTACTGAATTTACTGGGAAGCCCTTATTTTGTATCTTCTATACTCCAGGAAATATGCTAGTTTTAGTGCAAAGGTATGCAAAGAAAGATATATGATACTTGTCAGAAAAAAAATATTTGAAGCAGGGAGTTATTTTTATTTCTCAACTCCATCATAAAGAAATTACAGATGCAAAGAAGTATATTGAAAAATTATTTCACCACTGGCAGTAGAAATTCTGTTAGGAGAAAAAAATCTCTCCTGAACAAGGAGAGAATATTGAGAGTTTTAAGGTCTTGTGAGGAAGGTTATTGTGAAGGCAACAAGAGAATAAATTGCATAAATACTCTGTAAATTCTTCTCCTATGTTTTGGGGGAGGGGCATGTCTTCGCTTCTGCTTTACAGCAGTGATGTAGGAGGGTCAGCTGTCTATGTGTTACTTTCATTGGTTGATAAAGAAACTGCCTTGGCTTTTGATAGGACAGCAGCTTAGATAGGTGGAGTAGACAGAACAGGATGCTGGGAAAAAGAGGCAGAGTCAGACAGATGCCATAATTCCCCTTCCCGAGACAGACGCTGGCTAGACTCATGCCGGTAAACCACAACCTCGTGGTGGCATACAGATTATTAGATATGGGTTAGTCAAGATGTGAGAGTTAGCCAGGAAGAGGCTAGAACTAATGGACCAGGCAGTGTTTAAATGAATACAGTTTCGGTGTAATTATTTTGGGTAAAGTTAGGGGGGCAGCAGGAAGTGGCCCGCCAATCCTTTTACATAGCAGGTTTCCTACACCCTGCCATTTTCTCTTTTAATCTTTATACAATAAAGTTAGGCTAAGCAATTAGAAATAGATGTCTCCATCCTGTGTAAAACTTCTTCGGCTGATGAAGTTGAGCTAAAAAGTACCTCTTCACAGATACTAATTTTCTGTAATGGCTTAAATTTGCAGAGACAGGGAGAATTACTGAAAGCAGAAACACTAGAACCTATAAATGAAGTGTTAAAAGCAACCATAATAATTAAATTAAATACAGGAACTTTAATCATGAAGGGGACACAAAGAGAAACATTAAAGTGCAGAATTCAACAATAGAAATGCTAAGCACAGTGGGTATAATGAGTGGATAGGCATATGTCCTTTGTGTGGATATAATGGTCAGACTTAGATTGTTTCATAAGGTACGATTGAACAAAAATATTAAAGATGAACATATTACCTGGAAATATTATAAAATGTTTATAAAATAAAGATGAACATATTACCTGGAAATATTATAAAATGCTTATAAAATAAAGAGGAAGGCATTTTTAAAGGAAATGGGGGACAAAATTCTTATCTCTAAGCAAAAATAGAAGGTTTCAATTTCAAAAAGGGTAAAATGTCAAAAAATAAGCATGAGGAAATTATTTAAAAAAGTCAACTATAAATTGCCAAAATGAAAAATATAGTGTCTAAAATTAAATAACTAGGATTAACAAAATGAAAACTCAATGAACTTAAGGTAAATGAAAACTAAATCATTTTTTTTCTATAAAGAGGGAAAAAAGATTCAACAAAAGTTGATATTCTCAGATAAAGACTGTATAAGTATGACTCAGTAATTTGAACTCAGGATTGGAAAGTATTGGGATGTTTCACTGCTTGTGTTTTCAGCCACTCAGTTCAATTTCGATATAGAAATCTCTATAGTAAACTTATGATTTGCATATTTAGGTTTCCTCACTCAGTATAATATTTTCCCAGTTCCATCTATTTTTCCCAAATTTCTTACTTTTGCAGCTGAAAACAGTTTATTGATTATGTACACCACAGTCTAGCTGATTCAGTTTCTGAGCTATTATGAAAGGAGCTACAATGAATATGGTGTAAATTTCTTTGTCATGTCTTTTGAGGATATGGATTCCATCCAAAAAAGCTATAGTGGGATCATGTACAGATATTTTATCTTTTGGAGAAACTTTAATACTGATTTCCACAGTGGTCGTACCAATCTATTCTTGCATTAATAATGAACTAGAGTTCCCTTTTCCCCAGATTATGTTAGCACTTGTTTCCTTGATGATAGTTTTTATGACTAGAATGAGATTGAATTTTAAAGTCTTTTGATTTTCTTTTCTTTCTTTTTATTTTCAGACAGGCTTTCACTGTGCAAACCTTGGTGCCCTGTAACTATATAGATCAGACTGCCATCAAACTTAAAAAGATCTGCATGACTCTACCTTTCAAGTGCTGAGATTAAAGGTGTTCAACATGATGTGCTGCTTGGTTTTCAATTTTCAGTATCTAATAAGACTTCCTATTTTCTGAAATATTAATTTACTTAATTATTTTTTTAGAGACATGGTACACCATGACCAACAGCCAGTGTGGGAAGTTATTTGGATCTAAGGACATGTTGCTTTGGAAAAGAGGTTCTGCTTTTGTTTCCACAGAAGATGAGAGCATGTGGGATCCTTTCAGACTAATGTAGTTTGATGGCCCAAGACTCACCCAAAGGTCTCTGTGAACTGCACCTACCCCAGAAATGCTTTGCCCAACAAAATGAAGGAAGCAGTTTGGAGAGCACTCTGCTCAAATTCTCTAAATGATTGTCTATAAATGCATGTTTTTATTTAAAGGGGAATATGCTATAGAGATGAATAATTTGTATTTATATTGATCTTGGTTAATTGAGACAAATTTAAGGTCAATTTTGTTATATGTATATTTCTGCTCTTTAATTTCTGCTCAATTAATGTATTGTGGTTGTACAGCTCATTTAAAAATGTAATGTATAATTAAGAAATTCAGGTTAATAGACAATCAGCTATAATAGTCACGCTTGTAGTCATATTAGTTAGGTTTTCTAGATGTACAGAGAAATATTTCAGGTGGGTAGGTATTCTTCAAACCTTTCAAAGACTAACAGAATATGGCATTTAAAATGTTTAAGAACTTAGGACTTTTTATGACAATGAGACACATCTGTTTCTGGCAGCACCAATCTACTTCAAGAGGATGATGGGCACTGAAGAGGCTCCTTATGGAGTTTGTTAACCATTTGGGCAAGAAACTGCGCTTGCCTGAATTGCTTGATGTTATAGTGGATGAACTGTACATTCAGGACCTACAGAAAAATGACTGCTGAACTTTTTTAAAGGTGAGATCATCTTTTTGAGCTCCTGTTTCATGAAAGAATCTGCCAGACATTCTGCAGGACACAGAAGAAAGCAACTGATGAACTTTGCCAATACAAGGCATAAGAGACCTTCGGATTTACTGCTTCATGGAAAAATTTGCCAGATACTATGGACCACTAGGCTGAAGATGGGTGCCCCAATGCTACATAAGAATTTTGGGTGACTGTCCAGGCAGCGAGATGTCTCTGTCAATTCTAGAGTTTTGGATGTTGCTTAAAATGCACTTCCTGTTAACTTAGGTAATATTATATCCTTCTGGGTTCTTTGATGGAGTTGAAAAATAGATAGTTATAATTGTAGTTTTTCTTAGTTGTGATAAAGTAGATATAAAAATATTGTAACTGTAATTCTTGCTTGATACCTGTTTTTTATAGGTAATTTTACTATGTTAAAGTTAAAATTTTCCTTTTTATTTGAACAGAAAAGGTGAAATGGTGGGGGAAGTCCTTTTATATACATGTTGCTTTTATTGGTTAATGAATAAAGAAGCTGCTTTGGCCTGGGATAGGTAAAATAGAGTGAGATAGGGAAGACTGAAGTAAATGCTGGGGGAAAGTTAGAGTCAGTGAGATGCCATGTGGCCTCCAGAGGAGAAAGACCTGAGCTGTTAGTTGGAACTTTGTCAGTAGGCTCAAGTCTCATAGTAAAATATAAAATAACAAAAATGGGTTAATTTAAGATGTAAGAAAGCTATTGGCCAAGCAGTATTGTAAATAATATAGTTTCTGAGTGATTATTTTGGGTTTGGGAAGCTGAGAACAAAGGAGCAGTCTCTCCCTACAAACAGGAACTTGAAAGGATATATTCAATATATATCATATATCTCATATATATATATATATATATCCAATATATTGAATATATTGAATATATTGAATATATTGGAGAGGGTTGAGGAGTGTAGACACCCTCCCTGGTCTTGTTCCTAATTTTAGTAGAAATGCTTCTAGTCTTCCTCCATTTAGCATAATTATGCTTATGGGTTTGCTGCATTTAGTCTTTATATGTTGAGATATGTCCCCTTTATCCTTTGTCTTTCTACATTTCTTGTCATGAAAAGATGCTGTATTTTGTCAAAGGCTTTAAATGGTTCTATTGAAATGATCATGTGACTTATGACCTTGAGTCCCTTTATTTGGTGAATTACACTTATTGAATTTCATATGATGAACCATCACTGTAGCTATAGGAAGCAGAAAACAGAATGACATTTTGATGCATTCTAAATTTGGTTTGCAAGTCTATTATTTTTTTGTATTTATGTTTATCAATATAAACATAAATTGTTTATTTGTCTATAATTTTCTTTTCTTTTGTGCATTCATCATGCAATTTACATTTTAATAATCAAATTATCAAAAGGAAAGATTTTGTAGAAAAAATTAAAATATTATTTAAGCAAATGAAAATCCATATACAATATAACAAACCCCATGAGATGTGAAAATGTAATCCTTGGGACGAACTTTATAGTCATTTATGTCTACATGAAAACCAAATCTACTATTGAATCTCAAAGTACTAGAAAAGAAGAACAAACAATCCAAGTTACTAAAGGGAAAGAGGTAATATATATGAGTGGAGAAATAAACAAAATGAAGAGTTAAAACATCCAAAAGATCATACAAAAAAGTATGCACTGGTTTATTAAAACACAAAATAATAGGAAAAGTTGTTATCATCAATGCATTAACTGAAAGTAGTTTGCAGAATCTCCTTATTGAAAGAAATTTGAGAGATGTTGCACTGTAAAGAACCTCCTTCATACGATAAAATGCCTTTGGTAAGAATGCTACAGACAATGCCTTTCTACATGCAAACTGGATAAAGGAATGATGTGTTATAGTCATTATTTTTGAGTATTGTCTTGGAAGGTGCCTTGAGAATAAAAATGGAGGGAAATAAATGCTGCAGATAGGAATGTAATGATTCCTGCACAGACTTGTGTAAAACTGTATAACACATGAAGATGCTAAAATGTAGTGTGTGAACTCAGTGAGGTTCTCAGATAGTTGATTGTTCATTAAACAAAAGAAATTGTTTCTGTTCATGGAATGCAATATTTTTAATGTATCTCCTTAAATTCATATCACTCAGGAACTCAAGGTGATTTTACTTATAAAGAAAGAAAAGAAGGTCTTCAATTAACAGAGAGTCATTTTGCGTTAGAGCAGCCCTTACCCCATTGAACAGTGTCCTTGAAAGTGTAGACACGTGGAGAGACACAGGAAGGAAACCAGTGAAGGTGGAGTCATGATCACAGTGATGTCATCACAGTCAAAAATTCCAGAGGCTTCCATAAGATGTTTACTTATTGTCATCAGAAGTAGCCTGACCTTCTGACACTTTGATTTGAGCTCCTATAATTTGACACTCTGAGAGAATAACTTGTAATTGTTTAAACAGGTATTTGATATTTTCATATTGCAGCCTCAGAAGACTAATACCCTAGAAATATAACTTGAAAAAGAGAAATTATAACATTGATCTATGGGTGTTTTGAGATTTGTTTATTTTATTTTTGCACTTTACGGGTGGACACTCTTCCTGCATGTGTGTCTGTGTACCACATGGATGCCATGCCCGCAGAGACCAGAAGAGGTCGTCTGATTTATTGGATCTTGAGTTATGAATAGTTGTTAGTCACCATGTGACTGCTGGGAATACAACCTGGAAGAGCAACACGTGCTCCTTCCCATTTACCATCTCTCTTACAGTACCCACACCCACTCTGCACCAAATTCAGTTTAGAAGAGATTTTGACAAATAATTGCTAAGATTTGCTCAGAAAATCAACCCATGAATATAAGAATAATGTTGAAGTAGGAGGCTTACATCATGGAAAAAAAAACACTTCAGAGTTGGTGTCAGATGAATGAAGAGGTCAGAGAAGCACAGTAGAGGACCTGGAATTAGAAAATCATTTATGCAAACCAAGAGAAAGGAAAGAAGAGTTATTTAAAAGAGACAGATGGGAAAATTGGTTAGACACAGGCAAGAGAGCATAAAGGAATGATTGTACCTTGATTCATATCATAGCTCAACGAGCATTTACTTTCAGATATAATATATAAAAATGAAAATTAACCTTGATGCTTATAGAAGACAGTGCAATGTATACATATATACCCCCTCTTGATCTCTCTCTCTCTCTCTGTCTCTCTCTCTCTCTCTCTGTGTCTCTCTCTCTCTCTCTCTCTCTGTGTGTGTTTGTGTGTGTGTGTGTGCAGGTGCAAAGCATATGATATAGTTCATGTGCATGAATATATGTGCCTGTGCTAACACAAATGAAGAAACCCTTTGTGTGACAATACTCTTACTAGGGAAATACAACACACATGTCTACTCACCCCAGATAGGGAGTGCAGGGACACTAACCCACTTGAACATGTAATGCTGAGAAGCCCTGCCCTTCTAATCATTCTCTCTGCCTTGCTAAAAAATGTTAGATTGCTTTCCTAAAGCTAGCCACCAAAGTCTATTCCCTTATTTTGCAACTTCTTCCTCTTGAGGCTGACAACCAAGGTCTCACAATAAGAATCCCTCTTTGGTTCACCTAATTAACACGCCCGGTTAAAAGTAAACACCTCATCTTAACACAGGCCTTCCCTGTTCACCTTTATAAACCACCATTTGGCTATGTGCCATGTCTGTCTCCTCTATCCAGAGGCAGTTCTTTGTCCCTCTGTGACAAATATCCTTCTTCTGTCCCTTGTCTCCTTTACCTTCTCCCTTTTACAATGGTGTCCTAGCTCAAACAACAACAGGCCTCCCATTTTTCTCTTTTTAAGAATGACACCTGCAAGGTCATTTGCTGCTGTTTTGTGCTGAGTCAGAAAGCAACCACCTTAACTGTTCCTCCCCACTAAATAAAGGATATCTCTGTAAAAACAGGTGGTTGGGTGTGGTTTGTTCTTAATCTAGGGTCTGGAAGGGAGCCCTTGCTATGTTGGATTTCCTTTCAGGGAGTGTACAACAGTCTATCTAAAGTACGGCTATCACTGAAGTCCAACTTGAAGAACCATGCGCTTTACTGTGATGTCTTACAGGAATACAGGTGAA